CAGTCTTGATTGCCCCTCGCCTGAAGCCAGTGGAAATTTTGCCATCAGCTCCAAAGGACACAGGATCTGAACCTCCTAGGACTGTGGCAATGACAAGGGTTTGTCCCAAGAGTTCATGATCTAGAAACGTTCATATTCCTTTCCCTGTGAGATGAGGAGCTACAAAAAATAAAACATTCTCTCTGCCGGAGTTCAGTAATATTTCTTCTTAGCACCTAGGAGGGTCTTTGCATTTTTAAGTGCTTTACAAACATTAGCTAGTCTTCAGAGCAACCCTGCGAGGTAGGTAAGGTATATTGTCCCCATCTTACAGATGTGGAAACTGAGACACAGAGGGTCAAATTCAACCCTGGTACAATTCCAGTGTTTTACATGAATTAAATTCATTCAGAATGAACACAGCTTAAACAACTTGCCCTAGATTACAGAACAGGTAGTGGCAAAGCAAGGACAAGAACCCAGGAGTGCCTGACTCCTCAGCTTGTTACTAGCCACCTGGTCATTTTTACTCTCATGGGCAATGAAAAACAGTATAATCTGGGCAATTACTACAGGTATGATTTGCTTCTGTAAGGCATGTGGATGGTAATCAACTGAGTTAAGTGCAATAATACTTTATGAATGTGCTGCCTCAGAGAGTTTACTTAATCATGAAGTAAAACTTTCACACTGTCATTTTCTGCAGGTGCACTGTTGACAAAAACCCAACATAGCAGCTGGATTCAGCAAATAAATAATAAGCACAACACTTGGACAACTAGCAAAACTATCATTTTAGCAAAAACCAATGTGTTTCCACTTTTAACTGCTAAATTTCTACAAGTGCAGCATGCAGATGAAACCTTTCCCTTTGTTTCCAGACTGCAGACTCCAGTCTTGCTAACGAAGCAGCTCAGAGCTGCATAGATATCCTGAATAGTCATGTTCAAATGAATACACTGCAGAAGAAGAAATAGTGTATCACCACAGAACATGGGATAATTACTACAGACCAGGTGTATCAATCTTACTTGAAGACAAGCTTGAAGCTTACCAGTTATTTGGAAATGCCCAGAAGCTAGGCTTATTGAATGTATGCCAACGCGTAGACTGCAGTTCTAGGCACGTGCTGATTGCAAGGGGGGGTGTCTGTGCCACCAGCACTCTGGGAACTGGCCCCAGTTCGTTCAACATTGGCACAGGTATGTCAGTCTGAAGGTCAGTGTTGGCCAAAGATGGAAAGACACACAGGCATTTTCAGGCCACCCCCTTGTGCTCCAGTTCTCACCTCACCCCCCATCCCCACATGGATTCTACCACAGAAGGCCTGAAAAGCCTTTATGGTTTTAAAGGTGAGCTGTGGACTCAGCAGTGTAGACCTTATGGCAGGTACCCAGGCAATAAAAACATTACGACAGGTACTTATGCCAAAAAAGTTTGTTTTCCGGGATGTCCTTATGCATCTAGTCTGCAGGCTAGACCTCCTGCCTAAGCTCTGGACATGCTTACGGATGTTCAGCCATGTGTGCTTTCACACCAAAAAGAGATCCCGCTCCCTTACAAGCCACACAAATGCTGGCATTCACTTCTACACGAGCAAATTCAAGCACTGTAATTATAGATATCTTGTTCCACTTTTAACCTCTTCAAGTCAGTTTTGTTCTGTCCATATTTATGGAGACTGGCTATTGGACATGGCAAATAAAGCAATTATCTACATACATGTCCTTCACGGAATAAACACAGACACTCAGGTAGCATTTCCCTAGATATTCTCCACACTTACTGCAACTTTTTAATCTGTAGCCATATTTTAAACAGACAAACAAACATACAGTAATTAGAACTCTTAAAATCTACTCACATCTCCCTGTACCCATTCACTCCCTATTCATACAGCCTGCTTACAGTGGCTCAGAGAGCAGTACTTGCCACCAGCACTTACAAATAATTCCAATAAGTGCTCAGGCTCATACACGTGCCTCAACATTTTGCCAACAGAGACTTTTAAATGAAGCAATATTCTTAATGCCAGAGCCAGGTACCAAATCTGCAGTGTGACTGGGGCTCACAGGCAACTCTGACAACAGCAGTAAGATTCCAGTAAAATTGCAGTTGGTTGTGATCCAACCTTTATACTGTTATCTGTCGTTGAGATATATATAGACGACCCTGTGTGGCCTAACTGCAAATATCAAATGTATTTTTACAAGTTAGCAACAGCTTTTTTTGACATTGCCTCTTGAGATGTCCTCTACATTGTGACTGACAAGCACAAATATAATTCATTATACAGTATGCTTTAAAAGCCTTTTTTTTTACATTTGGCTTTTACTGTTGCTTGTTTCTGAGCTGTCTTCTAGTGCTGAGATTTGCTGTCCCCGGCCTTTTTGATTTCTTTCTTAGTTTTTAATTGCTGGTTGGACATGCTAGTGGCATCTCCCAGGCAAACCCTTTCTACATAATTAGTTTTGAAACTTGGATGAGTCATTGGGCTCTAACTACTATGCCTCTATTATTTTAACTTGAATACAGCACATCTCAAAGATTTTGGCCTCTTTTTGCAGTTGTAGAAATTCATAGGATGACATCGTTGCAGGTCTTGATCCATTTGCTTTCTTTGTGAGCTTCCAGGGTTTTTTCACAATATAAAGCGCATTTCAAAGCATAACAGTGTTGTGAACCAGCCTCCTCTCCCAATGGTATGGATCATTTTCTGCTTTATTGGCAGCTGAATAAAGCAATGCCATATTTATGACAAAAGTTAATGAAAATATGTAAAATTAAAAATACTTCATGTAGTTTTCATTTCCTTTTAATGCAGGTTGGCGAATAAAAACAGAACACAGACAGCCACACAGGGCCATGCTGGTTTTTATGGCCCCTCAGTGATAACTCAAGAGGCCACAGTTTGGGAACTGCTATTTCAGAAAAATTCTAGCCAATCTCTTTATAAGACCACATGTGACCCTACCACAAATTATATACTAGCAGAATTGTGGCTGGCAAAGCATATGTATTTTTGTTAGGCCATTCTCATCATTCACTGAGAATATAAAAGATCCAAACCATTGTAGTTAAAATGGGTTAAGATAAAAGATAAAATGAAGTGGGTGTAATTTTCTTTTAGCTTATGCACTTTCATAGGCAAATTTTCACAAAGCTGACATTGGTACAGGACATATCAGTTATTGGTTTGTGTCATGATTCTGACCCATATTAAAGATTTGACCTCATAATCCCTAGCTATAGTCCTTCCTATATTCCTGTTATAAACAAAGGGGGCTTTGTCTTACAGAAGACTATGGGACTGGACTCAAAACATTTTCGTGGGGTTCAGATGCCATGTCCATGAAAGTGGGAAAGACCCAAGCAGAAATGAATTTCCACAATAGGGGCAAAGAGGCTGAGTTAAAGAGCCACTACACTATTGTGCAGTATGACACCAGCGTTTCCTAAGGAAGTGCCACCCTTCTTTGTGAAAATGGGGTATACAAGCAGTTTCTCACCTGAACTTCAAGTTGTAACCCCCTTGTGTAATATTATTGCATACTTGTTCTGCCAGAAAAAATCAAAATCCATCTGTTTAAAATCTGCACATAGTTTACAAAAATGTCTCTTTTTATAGAGAGTAAGTTCAACCTATAGTTAGCTGTTTGTCGCATGAGAAGGATAATACCTGGGTTGCTGTGAAAAGATACTGCTTTGGAAAATAGCTCATAATTCTTGTCTTTGAACTCCCCTGAAGCTTCTGAAAGAGGACTTCAGAACACCCAGCTGCAGCCACAACTAATCAAAATAGGAAAAAGTGGGGAACCATGAGAAAGTGCCAGTGTCCAGTACTTGTAGAGCCAGATTTTAGGTCCTGAAACTGAGATGCAGCAGTACTATATTCTGCAACTAATTTTAGGATGGTAAATCTGACAGAGTGCTCTAATTAAAGAGCAGAAGAAACCAGTTCCATGTAATTCTTTAAAAGATCCAGAATGAGATCTCATGCATCAGTTACTCTCTTTACATCCACAGAACTCCCACCGAGCTTGGCAGGGGCTTATAGAAAGTCTGGCATCTGACTTTGACTCTAAAGGGCTGATTTGGGGGTGAATTACCAGGGAAGATAAAGGGGCCCCTTAACAGCAGATGTTCCCGACGTGCTGGGGGAAGAGCCATGCCATTATGCAGTGCCCTTCTTCTCCCCCCACCCCTGCTCCAAACTAGTCTGACCCCTTTCTGGTTCACTTATTTTACATATCCCTCTATTTTATTTTAGTATCCGAGTGGCTACACCAACCACTCGCTGTCTAATTAAAGCGTCTCCATCAACTGGTAATTCTGTAATAATTCACAGCTGGTTTTCCTCTCTCTGTTAAATCTATTGTTCCCTGGCTGAAAAGGCTGCAAGACCTTAGAAACTATAGATAGCTATTGATTTGTTTGCATTTAAAATCCAGTATGTGGCTGCAAAGGCCTGTTACAGTATCACAGAGGAAGATAAATGTCAGTGCATAATCTGCTAGGAAATTTCACAGAGGAGTTGATTAAAAGTCTATGAGTAATCATTGCACGAGTGTCTTCAGGTGTATATATATACACGTATATATTAGCTAATGAATATATAGCTAGATATATACACATATATGTATATACAGAGCTAGTTTAGACCTAATTGTTATGAAATTACTAAGTGGCATTCGCAGTTCATGCATTCTTCCTAGTTGCAGAGCTATATTTTTTCAGCTTATGCTCTAAGCAGCAACATACCAGTAAGTGTTTGCTTGCTTCCCCTGGTAACCTAGTAGTTTAAAGAGCACGAGCAGTTCCGCCATGGTCATTTTTTTCTGGCAACCCTCTGTGAAAGGGACCTGGCTCCTCCACAGGTGCTTTTCCCCCGGGTTTCACAGCATCTTCAGGACACGGTGGGGCCGGTCTGAGGGTCGCCAGTCTGAAGGTCATCGGCCCGAGGGTCTCCAGCCCAAGGGTCACTGGTACGGTGGTCGCTGTCCTACGGGTCGCTGGCCCAGCTAGTCCTGCTTGCAGAGGTCTGCGACGTTGAGGAACCTCCTGACGACCACGGCCAGGCAGAGCGTCAGGAGCAGCATATACCCCACGGTGCCCAGGTAGGTGGGGGCGGCCGGGGCTGCCTTGAGGAACTCGGCTAGCCCGTCCTCCACATAGTGCACCTGGTCGTAGATGCTCAGGAAGGTGAAGATGTGGAAAAGCTGGTGGCTGTGCCCCACGATGTCGAAGAGCCCCGGCTGGATCCGCTCGGGGATTTTGCTGATGTTGAAGAAGGCGGCCACCAGCAGCCAGCAGTAGCGCCGGTAGAAGTAGACGAAGAGCGTGGGGTTGCGGGTGCGGAGGTCAAAGAGGAGGCTCTCCAGCATGATGGGGCAGGCCATGCTCAGCGGCATGGCGAAGACGAAGGTGCGCACGGCGAAGGGGTAGGCGCAGCAGGCGGCGCGGCTGCGGCAGCAGGCGGCCGTGCAGCCCACGGCCAGCGCCAGGGCCACGGGCAGCACCAGGGCGCGGTAGGCCGCGATGGGCAGGCTGCAGTCCAGCTGCCAGCCCAGCCGCTGCTGCACGTAGCGGCTCATGGCGCCGGCGTCCAGCAGGCTCAGCCCCGGCAGCAGGTAGTAGGAGTAGGCCACGGTGCTGGCAAAGCCGTAGTAGCTGATGGAGGCGTAGTCCAGGTAGAAGAAGGCGGCGCGGAGGCGCGGGGAGAGGCAGCTGAAGAGGTGGGCCGTGCAGCTCATGGCGAAGGTGAGCAGCACCCCCGAGGCGTAGCACCAGAGGGGCAGCAGGGCCGGGTGGTGGAAGGGCACGTCCCCGGCGCCCCGCAGCAGCAGCAGCCGCCCGAAGCGGCTGAGGAAGAGCAGCAGCGGGATGAAGTGGGTCCAGAAGTTGAGGGTCTCGTTGGTGGGCTGCAGCACCGAGGCCAGGCACTCCTGCGCCGAGCAGTGCAGCCGCCGGTAGCCCGAGAGGATGAAGCACTCCACGAAGTCCTCGGGCACCTCGTCCCACCGCAGCAGGGCGGCCGGGCGAGGAGGCGGCGCCGCCTCCTCCTTCTCCCCCTCGCCCGCCGGCATGCTGCCGGGCCCGGGCC